GTTTAATTTGCATGTTATTTACAATTTCATATTAAAATCACAAAAACTACCAATTTGAGTTTTATAGTTTCGGTTAAGGTTACAATAATAGAAATTAGGTTAGATCAATCCTCGTGGGAACGATACTCGAAATTTTATAATTTCCACTTTATTACTTGTCAACGAACCGTAGACTTGCGGTGATATAATTTCGAAACATATTTTCGTGAACAATTTGAATAATCAAAACTCAACTCAAGAAAATGTTGGATTTCACACTTGGCAACTACTTCCGAACTCCAGCATACCCCCAATCTCTTCTACAGACAACAAACCCAATGATTTCAAAAATTCTACTTCGAACAACAATTCCAGCAGCAATGAAATTAACATTGTAAAGAGAAGGGAAAATTTCTGAATTACCTCTATTTGCTCTCTCCATTTGAGCGGCTTCAAGAATCGCCCTTATAACTCCTTCAGTTTCGGTTCCATTTCGTTCAATTTTAGACTGGGTTCATACAATTTGGGAGTGAAGAGTCTTCGATGAGAGATTTGGGGAAAAGTAATGTTGATAACCTACATCCCTTCTCACGCTTTTTTCATTATAAAAGACGTCTTTTGGGGATTTTGGGGAGTTTGATGACATGGCAAATAAAATACAGGTCATGGGTTTTAACTGGCCAAGTGTGGAAATCGTCAACCACGTGGGCCAACTGTAGAGACGGAATGAAGGGGGTGAGTGATGGAGTGCAAATTTTGTAAGTTCAGTTAGTGGTTGGATGCAATTTGAAGTTCAGTTATTGAAAGGTGACAATTTGTAAAGTTCGATGACTGTTGAAACATTTAACTCCGGGAAAGTGTGTGGTGTTTAAAAATCGTCTAATCATGCTCGACACGTGGCACAATGTCAAAGTTGATGTCAAAGTTAATGTACTTGTAGCATGATTCTAAGGGGGTGTTTGTTTCTGATTTTGAGAATTGATTCTCAATTCTCATTTTCAACCACACATTTTTCAATAAAATAATATTTTCCATCAAATCAATAATTTTTTCTTCTTTTTTAACCACAATTTTTCATCATATCACTATTCAAAATCAATT